CGACAAAACCGTAAAAACTGCATCAGACCAACGAGAGAATTCAATGATAAATTCGCTGCAGTCCGTCGTCGTCGTTTACAAGACTTCTCGCTTAAACTATATAATATGTACCTATTGTACCTACTGTATAATTATACATTAAAGTTCTCCCCGAGCAGCGAGCTTTAATACTGTATAGTCAGCCAGTCATAACTCGGATGGTAAAACTTGTTAGTCAACTGTTAAATCTCTGTAATAATTTTAGTTTCTGGCGGTTGTGTCGGTGCTTATATTACACACTATACAAGCATTATGATATTATAATATACTTAGCAAGAATTTAGAAAGAAGAAATTTCTAGGAAAAAATTTAAAAAAACTGTTCTACATATTAATATTCGCAATAATGAAAAATGATTTTGGACGGAAGGTTGCTTTAAAAGTGTTTTACTAAAAATATTAGTTTAACAATGATTGTTGAGCGCTTAAAAGTTTAGGAGCTCCGGCACTAATAATCACGTCAAAAATATTAACAAAATTGAAAACCAATATTACAAATTATGTGACTCGTAATATACTCTCATATACAAGCAAATATCGGTCAATGGACACTAGTTCGTATTATTAGGATAGCGGACATTTGCTAGGTACCTGAGAATTCGAACAATTCCCACCCATCATTTATTATGATATTGTGCATGTGGCAAACTTATGCCTTATCAACTTATGACGGATCATATTAATTTAAATTTTCAAGCCTTAAGTACTTATATTAACATAAAATATTTTATGAATTTTGGTATTCAAAATGGATTTGCTTCAAAACGAACAACTTTTCCATTTACAGTAAAACTCGATTAAGACGCTTTCCCGCATAAGACGCTATTTTTCGTCGGTCCCTATATCATCTATATCCCTAATTCATTCCCGCATAAGACGCTTTCCCGCTTAAAACGCTCTAGACAGCTGGTCCCTTAAAGAGCGTGTTAAGCGAGTTTTACTGTATTTATCTCTTTTTAAAGTAAAATGTTGATAAGTGAATGTCTAATTTGTTTACTTATCCCACCACCGGGTGGCAATTGGCCGAATACCCATAATATATATACCTTTATCTGCCTTCATGTAGTACCTATAATATATTACTATCTCGTAAAAATAATAAATCACGAATATACTTTTAGCTTTTTAATCGGGGACGTATCATACAACACATTATTCATACGCATAACACTGCTGTTGCACGTGCAGAGTGCGGTGGGGTACTGTGGTTTCGGCTATCTCGCAATGATAACAAAAACGAACGACTTTAACGTAAATACTATATCAGTAAGACGTCTTTGTCACTCGGTTTTTTTTCCAACAAACGTCTTCTCAAAGGGTGGGGGCCGAGTAGGATACCGAATGAAACGGGCTCGTAAACGCGATCGGCGAGAGATGGTTTTTTTTAATCGTAGACGTGCTAAGGCGTAAGGTCCGTCTTCTAGCCTCGGAGGTATACCGCGGATCGCCGATGTCGGTTTTCGAAAGCCGTCACGTTTTTTTTTTTTTTACATCACTCGCTCGCGCGGACTATTATATTCACTGTGCGATCACAAGCCGGCTAGAGATGAAGAAATAAAATAATAAAATTCGTAATATATAATAATATACCTACGTGTACGGTGTAAGACACGTAAAAACCGTTTGGGTCACACGGTCGGGAAAACAAGCGCCTACGCACGTATATAGCCACGACGACATTTTTGATATTAGATACATAATAATGTGTACGATATTATATATTACAGCCGTCATCTACGACGCGTTATATTATAATAACATAATCATATAAAATTTATACAAGGGCCATATCTGCTGTACGGAACCGAAATAAAACACGACGCCGACGCCGTCAAAGACACCTTCAGCTCCACTAATAACAACTGTAGATAACCCATCTGCCGACAGGTGGTGGTGGTGGACCTCGATACTCGGTTGCGATGTCTTGTACAAAGTGCGCGCGTGTGATTTTATGTGTGTGTGTGTGTGTGTGTGTATGTAATCGAGTTTAAAGTCGTCTCCCCCCCCCCCTATCGCCGGACGTGGTTCACCGGATGGGCGCGTGCCCAGAATCCGCGGCGGTGCAGGCGGTCACCGTCGTCGTGGTCTAACAAAATAATAATAATAGTTAAGTATATAATATATCGTATTATTATTTATGTTTAGGTATACTATACACGCTAGGCCGCCGACGTGCGACGTCGTGCACCGCGTCGCACCTGCAGCTGCGGCGTCGACAACAACAGGTGCTCTCGTCATCGCGCTTTTCACCGCGGCGACCCAAATCCGGCGCGAGCGTAGAATAACAATAATATTATCGATTAATCTTAAAATAAAAACCCAATCGTCACGTCGTCATCAGTCATCACTGTTTCACCTGTTTTGTTCTTTTTTTGATACTCTACTAAGCGAGCAGTGTATTGTTTTTCATGACATTATTATACTCTAACTTTTCCATATCTAGTGGGAAGAGTGCTCAAGTTTTGTGTTGTACCATCCATCGATAGATTATTGTCAATGGTATTATGAAGATCTCATTTTTAGGATTCCCTTGAAAGTTTCTTCGAGCGTATATACTGTTTAACCACCATAATATATTATATTATAGCCTTACAATAGGTACTATTGTACTACCTAATAAAACCATCTATATTTCTAAGTTAATTAAATACGAACAAATTGAAAACGAATACCTATGATTTAAAATACAATTAAAATAATTCGAACCTTATTTTTAAAAGGCAATAGTCCACATGAGTGTTTTAAAATATTATAAGAGAAACGAAAATATTAAATAAACATTCTATATTAGGTATTTAGGTATATAGTCATATAGAATTTAATACAATTTATGGTTCCTTAAATTTCTTTTAAAATCCCCAATGATTTTATTATAAAATACCTTATGTATTTTTAATTTTTATTTCAGAACCGTACAGTTTGGGGATGGTATTAAAACGATCATATTATTGTAAGAACAGTGCATTTTATATTCCCCCCTCCCCACCTGCTGCAAAATAGATGTGTTTTTCAAATATGTCGATAATAATATTCGTAAAATTATAAAATATTCACTGTAAAATCTTACCCAAACGTATTGTGTGCGATGTCCAGTGTACATATATTCGCAAAAAGAAAAAAAACGTTTTTGTGGTATACCGCTCGATTTTTGTTCCCAACCCGTCGTCAATTACGTCGGGCGTATAGTGTGCATAATAATATTTGAGTTATCATCACTGGCATGGCGGCATATCCAAATCTTAAATCTGCATCCATAATATCAGTAAAATTCGCACGCGGACGTTGTAAGGTCACCGGTGCGGGACATCGACGAAGAATGAACTTTTGCGAGTAAACTTCGTTACGAAATCGCAGTATGAATTTTAAAACTTCTCCGTAAATGCATGACAATAACACTATAAACAACGCTATACTCACCAATTACACGGGTTATGTATTATTATTATATATTATCTGCATATAGTAGTGACTGGTGGTACGTGCACCGTCGTCCTAATGTTGTCACTTCTGACCGCGTACAATAATAAGACGTCCAGACGATAGGATATTATTATTGTACCTACAGACCAGGGACGTATTTAGAAACAAATGATGGGAAGGGGCCATGAAAACAAACACAATATGTAGATATATAGTCGTAATCACCGTTTAAAAATGTATACACTGCACTTTATTTAACAATATATATGTTTTTGTTAGTAACATAGTAGATAGGTACCTATCCATATTTATAAGCGGCGTATGGACTAAATAATTATAGTAATTGGGGTAAAATACATACTTAAGTATGGCCGATGGGGAGGAGGGAGGGAATTGTGCCACTGCTACAGATAGGAGTACACGAATCATTACAACGATAGATATTATGGCGTCGGCTGACCGTTTAGCACGATGTTGATAATTTACAGCCCGACATTTCTATCAGTTCATTCTCGTCGCTTTTGTGTAATAATTAGTAATAATATATTAAAGTAAAATTGCGAGCTGAGTAACCCATCTCCATTATAGTGATATAATTATATATTATTTACTTACTTATTTTTACCATTTACTATTTTATAGAATGAACGTTATACTTACAAAATGTGTAAATATTTATGTCTTTATATTATTTTAAAATGTCACTATAAATCTCATTAATAGTTTTATTTTATTCAGATGTCTGGTTTTTTCACTCTAGATTACGCTGGTACACTAGTCATCACGTTTTTGTGAACCGGTTAGGTTCTTTGAACCTAACCACTTCAATTATTTTAACACATCATGCGTCAATAAAAGCCCAGAATTAGGCTGCAAAATAGGAATAAAAGCGATGCAAAATGGTTCAGAAAATGTTCGGAATACCTATCATTGTGAAAAAAAAAATAGGAAATATATTTCGGGGAATATCCAGGGAGTTTTGGTCACTTTATAATATGGCCTCCTGTTATACACATTGTATTTATAGAGCAATAAGAAAAAAATTTGAGCAAAACATTATATGAATTATTTAATTTTTATCAAAATTAGTCAATCACAAAGTTTGTTCATTTTTTCAAGTTTGTTCATCGACTATAATAATAAGATAATAACCTGTAAAACGGTCATAATCATGACCTCCACTATAATATTATGTTAATTGTAAATCAAAATGAATCTCTACTAATGATATAAGTATTTACTTAGTCCTATACAATTTCAATATCAGCTTTGGTAAACGCTTTCAATGTCCGCGTTTTGCATAATGATTATCAATAAATACCCGAATATTAGTCAAATAAAAATCGATGCTAACCTAACCTGCTGGAGCTGATCGTCGTCCGGTTACGAGAATTTGGTCCGATGCAACAGTCGCACTGTCGCCACGTGTATAACATAATATATCGTAACGATGATGGTTATGACGAGGAAGATGATGATACCAATGATAATATTATACCTAGTTGTTTAGTGACGGTTTTATTTTTCGTCGTTTGATTTCAGACTCATGGAGAATCAATGCCGTTCAAGTGTCAATTCTGCCGGAGGCTGTTCAAACACAAGCGCAGCCGAGACCGGCACGTGAAATTACACACGGGGGACAAGAAGTACAAGTGTACTCAATGTGACCATGCTTTTTCAAGGAGGTGAGTTGTACCTATATACCTATCTGCGAGACGTGCGCGTGCGTATTATAGGTGTATAATATAATATTATTATATATTATGTGTTCCGAACGTAATGACTATATCATATATCATATTATTATATTTATCGGAGACTTGTCCGTATCGGCCTGCGACCACATAATAACACACACACATATAAATATATATATATACCTATATATAACACACAATACTATATTATGTACACGCGGCGACTACGACGCACGGTTTTCCATTGTGAATTCATAGTCACGTACGTCGTATAAAGATATTTGGTACCTAGTTGACTTATAATATACTCGCCGAATTCAATAGGTTATTTTCTTTATTTTTTATTTTTTTTCACGTAATTACCGATGGCCACGCGTCCGACAATTATCCACGGGGAGAGACACACGTATAACACACAGCCAAACACACAGACACACACACACACTCATAGGTATAAGTACATGTGTATATACGGTCGTGAACTTGTCAAATAGACGGACAAAATGCACACGCGTATAATACATATATATAGGTACACACGTATTATAATACGTCATACCTGCACACATATATAAGCATATAGGTATATATAAGCACGCCCACCCAAAAAATGTCATGCAGACGTGCTCCCGAATACAATGCTAAAGAATATTATCGTCGGCGCTCGCGTATATATAGTGTATATATAGGTATATGTATGTGCTAACAAACTATTGTGTGCAGCCACCGCCGAGTGGACGTGTGGCCGCAAGTACATTGAACTAAGAAGAAGAAGACGTGTGTCCTCACACGGACGCATGCACGAACACTCGAAGTACAATTTTTTTTTTTTGAAATCCTAGCAACCGTAGTACCTACCTACAAAGTTAAATAGCACCAACACTAATTTGATAAACAATTCGTAAAATATCTAGAAAAAAAAATATACTATCTATACGTCGGCTGGACCAAAATAATATAGTACATTATCGTTGCGCGACTTATTATAATTTATAATATTGTCGATTTATATATATTTTTATGCACATCGCAGTAATTGATCATTATTATTTTTGTTACCGGATTTATTTATGCGGATCCATAGCGATCACTTGAAGATCCACATGAAAACGCACGACAATCAAAAACCGTTCCAGTGTACGGTTTGCAACAGAGGTTACAGTACGGCGGCCGCGCTCACGTCGCACATGCAGAACCATCATAAACGGGCTGCGGAACGGGCCAACTCGCCACAGATATCCGGCCCCTCCTACAAGTGCCTCCAGTGCACGCAGATATTCCGCAAACCCGACGAGCTCCAGGTCGGTACCCGTGAAACGCACTTACTCTTCCCGCCCCTTGTTTTCCACCCTCATGACGTGACCCCCTACCACATACACCCCGACCCCGAATATCCCTCTCCTAGACTACTGCACATGAACCCCGCGGACACGAGGTCGGTAAACCCGTTTATACCCGTATGCGATTTTCGAAATACTTTTCCATTACACCTATACCCTCTTATTGTAACAGTCTCACAGTAATTCGTAAATGATATTATAGTTAGGTTAGTGTACCGCCGTCGGTCCGAAGGTTTTCCTGTTTAGTGAACTTTTCGTTTCGACTACTTTCGGACCGTAAATACAATTTAGTTACGAATAAAATAAGTATATTACATCGTGGACCACGATTATTTCTGATAGGTCATGGGTACCTATACTACCTACGGCGGCGTACCTATATCTATAATAACGATTATTGGTGCAACTGAAAATACGTAATGACAACACTATGGACGTATGACTGACTGACTGACTGACTTCCTTACCACCTCCTTACTAATAATACAATTATTGTAAAATTAACATATTGTTATGTAAATGAACGGTCGATTTAAATCTAAAATAGAAAAAAAAATGACGTACTGATGCGCAGGTGTTGTCGATACTTGCTGGACACTACAAGTACAGCACGGTTATCTAACTTTGATAACCCTGCAGCTTTACACAATACATTATTTTGTATTTATTGTATATATTTAATTAAAAATTTAATGTTTGAAATTCCGATTAGAATTTGATTAAAGTAAGAGCCAATTCAAGCAAATTATATTTTTGAAATCGGGTTAGGACAATTCAAGTGATCTTTATAAAAAAAAAAAATGCATGGGAGACAATTTGCATGGGATTACCTGAATAATATATTATATACACTATCACCAGAGATCACACCTCACATTTTATTATATTATAACAAACTACGGTATTTTTTAATAAAAAAACTAAACTTTGTTATTATGAATGAAAATTGCAAACACTAAAATGTTACGTTTAGTGTTTCTGAATATTTTATTTGTTTGATGTGATCACCGCTAGATGGTACTGTAGAAATATAAAATATATTTTTACACCGTTCAAATGTATAATGTTTTGAGGGTTATTTTTCTTAAAATATGTAGGTAGGTAGGTATATTAAGATGATAAATTATATCAATACTAGCTGATCCCGTGCACTTCGTCGCCCGTTAAATATATCAACTCAATATGACTCAAACTTTGTTCAATTCATTATTCAATATTCGGTGTATGGTGTTCAAAATTTATCTTATCTTTTCTGTTGCCCGGAATAAAAATTCTGAATCGCAGCAGTACATTATCAGGTAGGCAATCTACCTGCGGTAGATCGCGGACCCCGTGATGTTTGTACGGAAGTGTATGATTTAACTCTAAAGTATCAAAGTTATACCAAGTTTATTTTGATATAATACTGTGGATTAATATAACAAATTTGGTTGCTCGTAAAAAATCGCAACTCTTAAAAAAATTATGATTGTTGAACTCCTTTTGGGTGTAACTTGCTGCGGTAAGTGCAACTCAGCCACCCTGGTAGGCAATGTTCAATAATTCGATTTGATGCAAGCTTGTACCTGATCTGTCCGACTAACCAATAAATAAATGCTAATTTCTAATGTAGACTGTAACCAATGGCAACTATAAATAAATAAAAATAAAATTTCCAATTTCTATCGTGAATCTCAATGTCCCTGTTTCAGCACCTATTTAAAATGCGAATTTTTCCAAATCCTTTCTTAGCGCACGTCTACATCATAATAGCTATCTGTATGCCAAATTTCAGCCAGATCCGTCCAATGGTTTGAGCTGTGCGTTGATAGCAGTCAATCAGCTTACTGAGATAAATCATCTAATATCTATCAGCCATAGAGATGTCTAAATTGTTATTATCATATCAATATAAATTATTTTTATTTTTAATTCACTCATTTTAATACCAATATTGTATATTTAAATTAAATATTGCTTGATAGATGGCGCCACTATCATATTCTTTCAACCCCACTTTTACCCCCTTGTAGGTCGAATTTTCAAAAATCCTTTCTTAGTGCGCCCTTACATTGCTTAAGGAACCTCTGTACAAAATTTCAAGTCTCTAGACCCAGCAGTTCCGGCTAGGCGATGATGAATCACCCAGGACAAGTCTTTTTATATATACAGATTATACGCATGATAACAACATTACTATTATTCATGTACAAAACATTAAAATTAAGAGACGTTACAAACATGAAACAAACCGTGATTACGGTAAGTACAAGTTCTCAACTGAAATAGGTAAATTAATTTTAATTCTATAATATACTGTCGAGTCCGTATAGTAAAGAAAACAGAACTGAGAAAGTTTATTTTTGAAAATATTTTAATGGTAAAAAGTGGTAATGATACGCGAGGATTACAAAATGTCACAATACCGACGACTTCTATGCAGCGTACTTTCTTAAAAAATAATATATTGTGTTGAAACTCGATGAAAGTATAATGGATGTACAATATAATATTGCAGAAAGGAACAATAACGTTTTAGTCGACATACAATAATTCCTATAATTGCTTAATGACATTGTTATTTTCCAACAACCACTGTAATAATAATAATGATAATTATTCTATACACAGAATCATACTGCGACGCATCATCTCGGAGAGCAACTTTCATCCAACTCCCGGAGCTCGAAACGTTCGACACCGCCGAAAACGCCGAACCAATACATTTGCATGTACTGTACCAAAGAAGTGTCCAGCATGGACGCTCTTCAACAACACTTCCAAACCAAGCATTGTAAGTCTATTGTATCGGTGTCCCCCCCGCACTCCGAGCCACTGTATTTTTTTTTGGGGGGGAGGGGGTCTCAGGAGGGCTGATTCCCCTAATAAATGTATTTTCGGATATTCTAGCGTACGTACCCCACTTTTTTTTCAATAATTAGGGCACACGGGACGGTACTCGGTTAAGGTTTTTTTTTTGACGGCTTACAAAATGCGAGTAAGTATTGGTACCTGTGATACAGCGATATGACGTGATAGTCATTGACATTAATCGGATCATGTCCATGGCGATAATACTATGTAATGATGTGTACTAAGTACTAACATGGTATTTTAGTTCGTGGTAATAATCAAAAAAAATATATATATAATGCTTATATTTAATAATATTTGTACCAACATTTTTTTTATATCATTCGTGTGTGTTTAAGTAGTATGGTACTAGATATTTTTCGAAAATTTGTCTATTTAATTTAATCTGTTTATTTGTCTGATTAATAATTTTTCCTCCCTTTTAATTGCTACAATCGTTCAATAGTAATTATTAAAATTATGTTTTATAAGTTTTTAAAAAGGGGATTTTCTGAGCTGAAGTTTCCCACTCTTATATTCGGTATTTTATTTAGGTAGTTGTCATCAGAGTAGTCTACTATTTATTTTCCAATAGTCAAGCAGTAGATATGACATAATAATAATATGATATAGTTCGATCTAATCGTTGGATTTTGCTCGTTCATAGCTGCGATCGTCAACGGCAAGCTGCAAGAGGATATCTTTTCGGCAGTACCCCCGGCGGCCGCGTTCCCATGGCTCAACTTTGCCGACTCGCCTGCCCTGGCCCTGCCCCCATACTCGTGCCGGTTGTGTATGAGCCAATTCCCGTCCGTCACTTCGTTACAAAAGCACTTTACGACCGCCCACTATCTGAATTCCGTCCTCAACAACAACATACAGAATAACAATAACAACAACAGCAACAGCAACAACAACAATACCAACGGCTGCAAAAGTGGCGGTGGTGTGATGCCGATGTTCAACTGGCCGGCAATGGCTGGTGCGAACGGATACCATCAACACCACCACCGCCACTCGACATCAGGCGGCAGTGGTGGTTTCTTGCCCGAGGAAACCGTCCAGACGGGTCCCACAGACTTGTCGCTGTCGTCGTCCAAGCACGGTGGCGGCAAACCCCATCACACGTCGTCGGGCAAGCACAAGTCGGCGGACGACCAGCGGAACCACGCGACCAGCAAAAAGTCCCGTTCGTCGCCCGGCCGCGATCCACCGGTGGCCGACCAACAGCGTCCCATAAAACAAGAAAGCGTCGGCGGCCACAACGTGTATGACAGCAAACACCTGCAGCTGCCCCGGCCGGCCGTGGCTCGTCCGTCCTCGCAGTTAGGCGTCTCCAACCACAACAACAACAATAACATTAACAACAATAACAACAACAACATTCACGCCGACAACAACAAGATCCAATTGCCATGTCCGCACTGTCATCTGACGTTCGCGCACTTCGAAGATTACCAGCAGCACGTCATCGGACACTTCCTGATGGCCGCAGCCGAATACTCGTGTCAGGAGTGTTCCACTTCGTTCGCGACGTCCGAACACGTCCAGAAACACCTTATGGAAACGCACGCGCAAAACTTTTACCGGTGCATGCTGTGCAAAGAAGTGTTTCCGACCAAGTCGGCGTTGAAAGTGCACTTTAGCATGAACCACGGCAGCGAACACCGCATGTTCCGCTGCAACAACTGCACGGGACTGTCCCGGCCGCTGTTCCAGACGGAAATCGAGTTCATCGATCATCTGCGCAATGCCCATTACTCCGCGAGATCGCCACCGCCGGTCCAAGCGAACCTGGTGAGTTATGAAAATATAAGCTGACGTGCCCATGACGAGGAGATTCATTTAACTCAAGACACCCTTTATTTCAGAAAGCTCTAACGTTATGTTTTTGTACGTAATTTTAAGTCGTTACTAAATAAAATTTTTGGAAAAAAAAATGATACTTTTTGTCTTTTTATCATTATTATTTTACAAGTTTTTACTTTTTTGAATGACAACATACATTTTTAATTCCTCATCTCAAAGCAAAATATTATTCGGAGTATTTCGTTCGATAAAAATAAAAATTCGGACAAGTGGTATATTATAGTTATAACTTTTTAAATAGGTATTTAAAGATTTTATGAGTGGAGTAGTGGATCAACATTTTGCTGGGTACCCCCGTATGGATCCGTCCCACTTGTCGAAACATTAAATACTTTTGATATAGACTAAAAGTGCAAGATTCGAAGTATTCTAAAATACGGAATACGGAATTAAAATGCGTATTTTCATTAAAAAAAAGTAAAAACATCAATATAATACCTACCCATTTGTTTACAGAAAATTTTTATTTCGAAACGACTAAAGTTATGTATAATTAATATTAAAGTTTTCATTAGTCTTAAGGTTACTGAATCACCCGGAATGGATCACCGGGTATTTCGCCCTATATTAGTCTGTGTTTCGATTTTATTAAAACGTTTCTCGTCCCTTTGCTGCACGCTTTTCAGATGTTGAGGTGTCTGGTGTGCCACGCCACGTTCAACACACAGTCCGACATGGAACAACATTTAGCTAGTCATTCCAAACAGTTCCAATGTCAATTCTGTTCGGAAGCGTTCCACATCGAGTTCTTGTTGGACAGGCACATACAAACGCATCACAGTTCGAGCGTAAGTCGCGCCGTCGGCTCTCGACTATCGCCCTTTTAATGGTTCACGACGATTTAATGTTTATAATATTGTCAATGATTACAGATTTTGAGTCACCTCAACCGGAACCACAGGGAATCGCCGAATTCCATGTGCACGTCGCCCACCTACATTTCCCGGACGGCGGACGGCAGTAAGCATCCGACGGAAAACGGGACGAACGCTTGTGACATATGCGAGAAAAACGATTTTCGAAACGAACTGGACCTGATGGCCCACAAGAGGACGATGCACCAGGTGAAACCTACGAATCTTTCGACAAAAGTGAGTGTTCGTGAATCCTGCCGGGCACGTCTTGCTTGTAATAAAAATGTAAAAAACTCGCCGATTTTAAACGTTCGTATTTTCAAACTCCCTTAACAGGTGAGCTTACATTGCGCGTATTGCAACGAAAACTGTAAATCGAGAACAGAGCTGGAAAACCACATGAAGACTCATTCGCAACACGGCTCTAATGTCGGAAAACACAAGTGCAACATTTGTGACGAAATCTATCAGTCCGCTATCAGCTTGGCAGAACACAAACTCACTCACTGCAAGGTGCGCATACCCGATTATACTATATTCTTGTACCGACCGACTGACCGAGTGTAGATTAGTTACTACTACTAGGTACTACTTCTAGGTATATAATAATATTATCGAAAAATCTTAATAATCATTATACTATTCAAATATCTATTTAAACGAGGCGTGTCAGTACTCAATAGCTTATGTTTAACGAAATTATGATTGGGAGGGAGGTTTAGCACCATTTAATTATAAATTATCACCTGTAAAGTCGAATTCTAACAATATAATAGAAAAGCGTTTCTCAACCTGTGGTACGTGTATCACTATAGTGGTACTTGGGAAGCTCGTAAGTGGTACGCTAAGAACATCTCCCTTAATAAAAAAAAAAAAAATGGAATGAATCATTAGAATTTCACAATAGAATTTATTTGGTATATTTGATATTTTTAATAATAACATAAATAATAATTTTATTTTTATGCATTAAAATATTAAATACTTATATTCATTTTGTAGTTCCTAATAAAATAAAATTCCGTATACATGTAAAATAACATTTTCGATAAACAAAAAAAAACATTATTTTGTCAAGTGTTACATGAAGATGTTCAAACTCTGTAGGTGGTACACGGATATAAAAAGGTTGAGAACAGCTGTAATAGAAGGTATATAATATTAAGATAAATAAAGTTTAAGAAAAAACAAATGAGTTAATTATATAATATTTTTATTTTGTTTTATTATTTGATCATGTAATAAACCTATTACGAGTTGGATGTTCAAAAAATAACACATTTATATCGCTATAAAATTATAAAGGATTGATTTTTAATAAATGATATATAATTTATTGAATTTCCCATATTATATTATATGCTTTTGTTTTATTGAATATCTTTTTTTGTAATAAAACAACATGATAATATCTCTCTCTTTCCCCTCTCTTCAATCACCAATATTATACAATATTTTACCGTTAGTTTTATATATTCTAATTGCGCCCTTGAACTTTATCCACCTGTCATTATGTTTTCGTAACCAATGATTTCGTGTAATTGTGAATTTTAGTAGGTACAAACAGAACTCTATTCTTACTGTTGTTGTTGTATCATGCATAATACAGTGAAACTTCCATTCTATAACGAACTTCCATTTAAAAAAATTGTCTGTTTAACGGAATATTTTTGTGAACCATACAGAATTAGAACCAAATTTATTTAATTCTATTTAATTCTTTATTTAATTTTCTATAATACGAATTTTATTCGTTGCCCTTTAGACTTCGTAATAATATGAAAGTTTCGCAGTAATTAAACATAAATACAATATTAATATTAAAATTTAAAATTATTATCCAGGTTAAGTAAACATGTATAATGTATATTGTATGTAATGTGCAATAAAATTTAGTATTAAGCCGTATTAGTTAGTAAGTTTTAGTACCTCGATGTAGCAAAATAGAAACTAGATTGAGCGATAGTATAAAATTGATAGGAGTAGACAAATGTGGGTCCTTCAGCGGTGATCGCTTGATGCGGTCACTGTGACACCACAAACCAGAAATAAAGTGTTATATTTTAATTGTGTGTGATGAGATTAACGTATCGACGCCATTAGGTATGAAATAATTTTAATTTTATTTTTATTCCGGCTTGGTATAAATTTTAGAATATTTTCATATTAATTAATTATTAATCAATAGATTAGAAATTAGATTTGGCATATTTGTATCGGATAGCTAATACGATAGATTAAGTATAGATTGTCCAGTTTAAAATTGGAGCATGTTCTAAAAACCGGACAAAAAGCTTCCCGTTTGAAGTTTGTCGGGACATGATGATAAAAAAGTGACGATTTCGTTTAAAACGGGACCGACCACCCGTGTAATGTGTATAATACTGTATCATGTATATTTCATATAATCATATAATCATATTACCTATTATAATATAATAGGTATACATAATATTAATAAGCTCTTTCGTAACACCATTTCGATATTTTTTCTCTATCTCGTTGTCATCTATTATCGATCTGTCGATCAGGTGGCCACGAGTACCGTGTGCAGTCACTGCAAGATGACAATAGACAACGAGGATCAGTTCCACCAACACCTCCAGAAGCACTGCAACCCGGCGAACGCGAACGGCGGTCAAGTGGCGTTCCCCACGTCGTGCATCATATGCAGGCAAACGCTCGTGTCGGACATCGAGGTGAAGGTGCACGTGCACTATCACCTGTCCCGGCTCAAGGAACCCGCGGCCGTGTGCGGCAACTGCAACCGGTACAAGCGGTCCGCGTCGTCGCCGTGCGCCGGCTGCAACCCGGCCAGGAACAGCGCCGCGGAACGGTGTCCGGACTGCGGTGCGGCGTTCGACGCTTTCGGCGCGCTGCAGCACCACCTGACCACCGTCCACAGGAAACCGTTTCACTGTTTCAAGTGCAAGGTAAGCGTGACATTAACGTACGGCGTGTACAACGGTTAGGGTGAGAGTGCTCACCCCCCCCCCCCCCAATATTTCTCCAATGTCACTGTTATTCAATATCTGATTTTTGGAATTTTTAAATATTACACCTACACGAAGACCGTATTATTTTCAAATTCTCGTGATTTGTTTGCACTATTCGAGGAGGGTCCGCGGATGTACAAACTTCTGTTTCTCAAACGAGCACCCCTTCTTTTTCTACTGCAAATTATGTAGTGGGTTTCTAAAACTATGACGTATTAAAATCAATAAATACGAACTACTAGTCTTTGAACTATTTAGCTTTGTGAACTGAGGTCTAAGAATCGTCTTCGTGATAACGGGTTTGGAAGATACATATTATAGAGACTATGGTGATTTGAATAACTTAGTAGGTAACTAATATTTATTATGCATAAAAATGGTACGAGTATAATAGACACTAGATCTATTTTATATTTATATATACAATTTTTTAAATCTGATCATTCCTGAATAATAGTTTACCTAAATAATGAGACATAAACGTGTAAACGTTGGGTACCGATCTTATGGATTTGAAAATATACAGGTACCTATCTATAATGGAATAGCAAACTCATTTCACTTATGTATGATAGGTATTATAAACGTATTAAATAATCACTAAACGGACATATTACTATATTAACCATATTAATTATTACACCAAGAGAAAAGTGAAGACCAAATTAGGAACTATTTAAATATCACCCGTTTCGAGTATTATTTACACGCTGACACACTATAAGCAGATTAACGCGTTAACCACACACCTGGCTGCGTGTGGGGTGTTCACGGACAATTTATATTATACATTTATAGTTTTTAAGTAATATATAATGACCCTGCAGAATGCCACACATAATCTAAATTGACGAGAACCGTAAAAATAAATTTTCAATGCCGTACCGTCAACGACTTAAAAATTTCTGAACGATGTTTCTTCAAAATACTGCGGCAGACAGTCGTAATTATAGTATATAATATCATAGCTGATAGCTTGTGGGGGGGGGGGGTGTATCCACTTTTAAAATATCGTGACTGCGAAGGGCTTTGACGTTAGTCTTAAACATGTTTGAAACACCACACTGTGTCACTGTGTGCCGCACACAATAATAAGCACAGATCATAATTCAATATATTATTATAAAGTATACGCTTAGCACATCGCAGAGCAGCGCAGCACTGTCGTGACGTGGCGCGCAACAACTCGTATCATACTAATCGTCATAATAATATTATGTGTTTCGCGCAGATCGGGTTCGAATCGCAGCAGGAGGCCACGATCCACTTGAGCACCCACCTGGCCACGCTCAACGGTTCCGTGGACGGCATCGAGTGCGGCCTGTGCCCGTGCGTGCTGCCCACGGCCAACAGCCTCCAGACCCACCTGATCGAGCACACGTTCGCCGGCTGCAAGGCGTTCACGTGCTACCTGTGCTCGGCCATATTCACCGCACCCACCGGACTCCAGGCGCACATGACCGTCGACCATTCGGCCGAAACGCCGCCGTACGATTGTCCCAGGCCCGGGTGCCAGGCCAAGTTCTTCTTCACCGCCGAGCTGGACAGGCACACGCTTGAGCACCAGGGACAGGACGTACTGGCCAACGTGAGTTTACATTACCATATATACCAGAGCAATGCACGCTGCAACCTATGATGTCGCGGACGGCATTACGTATGGATGAAGACGCATATAGCTGCGTTTTCCCTCCACGAATGCAATACCAAATTTATTCTCGGTTCGCGTTCTTCGAAAAACATGTCTTTATTATCGTTTTCCGCCACGAGGAAAATAACAAATCGTCATGTATTCATTAATTTAAATATGTGGAGTATAGTCCGAATGCCTAAAATTGTCTAACTAGCAGACAGCAGTATATTTCAATAATTCTTTTATGCGTAGGTAAAGATCAAAATTTGATTTATTCATATCATATTTAATATGAAATAAGTTTAAATATAAAATCATCTTGATTAAATTTAGAATTGAATAACATCAAAATATTAATATTCTTTATTTATATGATATACAAATGATCGTGAATTGTTTGACTATACCTGTATAGTGTATATATATTAATATTATACGAGTGGCATACACTTATTAACTCTAACAAGTTTTAATATATATATGAATATAAATCAACTAATTTGTGTCATAATTTCATACATATAGCAGATAAAATAAATAATTTTAATACTCAAAGGAAAATAGAATTTTCATCAAAGAAAAATGTCCGTCCACAAACCTTCTCGCAGATTTTACTAGCAATTCTATCAAAATCATAAAATACTACATGATAATATAATATTAGTTATAATTACTAGGTATCACTATCCACTTACTGCTCATATTGACTAATGAATGACACATATGCGGTGTAAAATAAGAAGAAAACTGTTATTAGATTTCTTGAATATTTAATAAAAGAAATTTTCATACAAAACAAACATTTTTACAATGAAAATTTCTAAAATACCTTTTACGATATTATGTCGATGTGATCCTTAATACAACGCGAACTCCCCTGTGAAACCTTTGAGTTGAAATAATATTTGTACTAATTATTATGCATGTGCTGTGCGTAATAACAATGTCATGTACGGTACACTTATCAGGTGTCAGATCGAAAATCAAACAGTCGCAACGTTTTTACTTTCAGATGAACTTCTACAAGTACCAAAACAAGCTGATGTCCATCTGCGAGAAGCTGTCGTTCAAGTGCGCCGAGTGCTATCAGAGCTTCTTGACACAAGCCGACTTGCAGTGTCACGTGTACGACCACCATCGGCAGCCGAAGGACGCACCGCCGACGGGACCGGAAACGAAAAACGTCAAACAGGAAATGAGCGGGTGCGCGGTTAACGGCGGCGCGGACGAGACGCGGCCTTTGGACGGATGCGAACGGGCCGAGAACCCGATCAAAGTGGAGGACGGGGACGAGGTGAGCGTGAAAACAGAGCTTCGTGAAAGAGACGACGAGGACGAAGAGATGATCGACGTGGGAGAGAACAACCGCGGCGAGGTGAAGTCGGTAGCAGACGGAGAAGACGCGGACATGCGTTGACGGGGTTTCGTCAATGGTCAGGGTCGAGGCTCAGGACGAAGGATTCGTCAACCTTAATATTTTTGTTGTTATTTTCAAAGAGAAAAATCGTCTCGATAATCGATGTAGTCGTGTGCAGACCTCGATTGTCCCGAATCTCCACTGAATTGTTTATTATAATTTTATATTATTATATAAACTCACCGACATGATTATGATGGTTCAAGAGAATATTATTATTACGATTATTGTTTATTATTATTGTTATACACACGCGCAAATGATACGCATGATATTAGCGTATATTGTTTTTAATAAGTAAATTCGTATTATTGTTACATATTATTATTATTAGCAGTAAATAGTACACGTACGCGGCGTGTCCTATTTGTATTATTATTATTATTATTATTATTATTATTGTAAACATTATAATATATTTGATTGTATACGTTGAATTTACGATGAATAATGCGCACACATTTAAAGTTTTAGGTGGTGAAATATTATTATTATTATTATTATTGTGCCTCGTCGAGGAATGAATTATATTCGAGATAAATTATGTAATCACTTTCTTTTCGTACGCATATTAATACTTTTAGCGTTATTGTTCATAATAATATTATTATACATTGTATTAAACGAGTCTTAAATTTTTTAACGTCACTTATTAGCTTATATTATTATTTAAAGTCTTATAGGATTTATGTTTATGTTGAACAATTCATATAGATATTTCGTTGTTTTATTTTATTTATTATTGTACAAATAACATTATAGTTATATTATATTATAAAAAAAAAAACACGTGTATATACAACGACAATGTCTTTAAGGGTTATGGCTATTTCTTATGGTTAACAATATTTTGTTTTTATTTTACTTTAACTTTAATTGTGATACTATTTTATCAAAACGGTTTTTATTATACACACCGTATTTTTCTTTCGTTTTATTTAACCACACACTTGCGTCCTTGACAGAAAAAAAATTATCTATACTAACTAGATACATTTCTGGTTATATCATTGATCTAAGCACTTGGTTAACATCGCATATGATATATATATATTATATTGTCGCAAAAATATCATCCTTCTATTGCTATACTTATAACTGTTTAATATTCCAATAGGGTACCATAATGGATCATAATAGTTTATAGGGATGTGAAATTAATGATTGGTATTCTTGAACACATCACTATTATAATTATATACAAAGTGTTCAACAAATTTGAAACGCTGCAATTGCTGTTTGCATATTTTTATACCCACATATATATAATAACATATTATAATACCACTGTAAATGTATTACCTAGGTAAAATATTTTATAATGAATTAATTGTTTTAAAAAAACCTCATTACTTATATCTATATTATCGTTTATAAGTCCAAATTAGTCTAATGACTGTTTCCAAACTTTTTGAAAACTGTATATAATATTTTCTTCTAGCAATTACCTTGTAGTTGATTCGAAACCGCAACCTATTAGCTTTTCATTTGATGTGGAATCATTTTTCAGAAAAAACTTTGAAGATAAAAATTCTATAATATATGTATTTAAGTACTAAAACATTTTATTTTAGACCCTATGAAAATAAAGTTTTTTTTCAAGTAAACTGGCCAATGTGAATCACTGAATCATAACATTGTCGTATTATTTGTTTTATGAAGACTTGTAACAGCATATAACTAACAAACTATATTACATTTTTCAGAACTATAAGTCTTGCATCTTCTTTCTGTTTTACAACATTAGGTACTTAAATTCCGTTTTAAAATATGGTTAATAATATAATCCAACTATAATATAAACTATAAAGTAAATAAGTAATATATTGAATAATAATTGTATTCTACATTTTCAAAAATAGTATGTTTAACAATTATTAAGATTTAGAATTAATGGCTTTATTATTTAATAATTGAATTCTCGAAATGAACGAGTACCTTCATAACGGTATAAAATAATATATTATTATAAAGGCGTTATAATATTCCTCAAAACTCTAATACCTACAACTTTGAATGCTTATTATTGATATATTATAATTATATATTAATAAATAATAATTACTATTTGATATGTTAGATTTATAATATGGTATCATCGAGAGTTTTAAAATTGAAATTAAATCACACGGCGTTACAATTCACAAGAAATTATTTTATTCGTAACAAGTATTATATACAATAGAATATAGTAAAAAAAATATAGTTCTATCCTGGGTCATAAAATACTTTTCAAGATAAAAAATCGTAGATATACACTATACAGTGAAACTTCCATATAACGAAGTCTCTTGGAGCATAAAAAAAATTCGTATTATAGAGAATTTCGTTAAATATAATTTTGTTCAATTATATTTAACCAAATTTGTTCATTTGGTTCTAATTTGGTTTGGTTCTCAAAAATATTTCATTAAGCAGAAAATATTGTTAAATGGAAGTTCGTTATATAGAAGTTACACTGTGTCATGAAAAAAAAAAACATAAATATGTCTGTTGATTTTTTTTACACTATAGCAAAAGGCAATTGGTATTTTAAAAATGATAGAAAACAATAAAAGTAATTAAAATTGTTTTTTTTTTCAATTTTCCGTGGAATAAAAAAATTGTTATTGTGAACACAGGTTTACGGAATGTAAAAATGCACTGAAATGATTATAATATAATTATATGGTTTACTGTTCGATGAATAATTGACCAACATTGAAATAAAATAACTTGTTTTTCTATTGGTTGTGACGTTGTGTACGATAGTTGACAAGTAATATTATAGGTACATAGTATTATAGTCAATATTAAATTATAATGGGCTTACAACCATATAGTTATGAACCGGCGCAGTGGGTAGGCAATATTGATGATCAAATGCTTTAAATATCAAATCATGGATCTTTAGACATTCAATATAATATAATATTTTGTTTTAGTATTCTATAACGTTATGTGCAAGCCAGTTGGGACCACAGGTATATATAATAACTAGATACCCGACTTCATTATACAACAACATTATTAAATTATGATGCCCGACACCATTTGTTTGTGACTTTGGCAATGTTTACAAATTCTAATCGTTTTGATTGGCTACGGGCATGTTTGATATGAAATGTTGTTGTTTTTATCATATTACCTTTCTAACGATTAGTAAATATTGCCAAAGTTGCTAATGGCTGCCAGCGTCATTCATAATAAGATGTCGGGTATCTAGTTAATATATATATCTGAGGTAGGGACCAGTGTTGAGAACGAAAATTTCTTCTAGATAAGATACGGAAAACTTTATATAAATTTATCTAGATACAGATAAAGATAAGTACATTTTACATTTACCTAGGTTAGATGAAGATAATCTAACTTTTGTTTAGATAATATGGTAGATAAAACTAAATTTTGTTATATTTAAATAACATAGGTATTTACTTTTTACCAACGTGAGCATGAATATTAATTATTCCCCACAGGTAAATTTATTTTATTATGCATATCAGTATATCACAACGAAAACACTTAGTTGAACTCTGAGTAAAAATGCCTAAGTAGAAATTTATAAGATATATTTTATAAATATTATATAGATATTATGATATTCATGAATAAATGCTAATTCAATTTAATTAAATAATGTACACTTATTTTGTTTCAATAATTTATTTACTTGACGAGAAACAATATACTTTATATTACACGAAATAAGGCGAACAAAATAAATAAAAGGCATTAGAACTTCATTATAATATTATGATAATGGGAATTTCTACACTTGTCAAATTAAGTGTACTTCAATTCAATTTACTTAGCATTTATTCATGACATCACATATTTATAGTTCTTAAACATCTTATAAATTACTGATTTTTTTATTTAGTCTTTTTTTTACACGGAATTAGAAGAAGTTTTTTTACTATTACCAATTTTTTACCTCAATACATTTTTATTAATTTGTCTCTCAGGAATTATAATATAGACGTCTTTATCACCATGAGGCCATATTTCTTTATTAATAGTAATTTGTTAGTATATTACAATCTTTATAGTCATATCTAATAACTAATAGCCAATAATTAATTAATAGTAACCAAGTAACATACGTATACGCAACAAAATCTACGACTTATATATTACTTTTCTTATATGTTATAAGTACAACATTCAAGATGTTGGTTTATTTTTATTAGGTACAGTTTATAGAAAAATATACAAATAAGTAGTATTATAGTTATGAATTTACATCTTGTCAAAAATATGTCAATAAGGGAGGAGTGATCTTCGGAATCTAAATTATTTAAACATTTAAGAAATGATATCATTAACTTGAACTCCGTTTTCAAAATCAGATTAAATTTATATTTAAGGGTGTCGGTGCCGTTGTTCATTTATTAAGGAGTAAAATTTAGGCAATTAATTCACATGTTGTATGTACCTTGCGCTAAACGTGCACGTGTGAGAGAATGTAAATCGTTATTAGTGTGAGTGAGCTATAATTACACTCGCCGATAAATATATGTACGCACGCGCATGCACAAGTCAGAGTTAGACTTCGATGACTATTATCGAAGCACTATTTTTATGAACAAAAATGGTTTCACAGGAAAAACTCTCATGCCTCGTATGTCGGATTTTGGTCAATTTTTTTTTATCTGAAAGATAAGAAGTTTCTGGACGTCAGATCGAAGCTCGAATTTTATTTTACTTTAAATAGTAGTAGAAAAATACGTTTGAAAAAGGACAAATACTGTGCATTTTTCAAATGCATATTCCACCTTTTATAATTATAATTTTCAAAACCGGGCTTTGATCCGACCTACAAAATGTTCTATACTACTTTTAGATAAAAAAAAAATCCGACAATTCTACAAGGCGTGAGAGTTTTTTCTGTGAGACATGTTTTTGTACCAAAAATAGCACCTACTCCGACCCCCTTAATATTTATTCAAATGATTGATAAATAGTGTTTATGTTAAACTGAATTTGAATAGTTAGAAATATTGTTGTCTTAAATAATA